TCCTATACATCCCTATACACCCCTGTATCCCTATACATCCCTATACACCCCAATACATCCCTATACACCCCTATACACTCCAATACACGCCTATACACCCCTATACACCCCAATACACCCCTATACACCCCAATACACCCCTATACACCCCTGTATCGCTCTACATCCCTATACACTCCTATACATCCCTATACACCCCTGTATCCCTATACATCCCTATACACCCCAATACACCCCAATACACCCCAATACATCCCTATACACCCCAATACATCCCTATACACCCCAATACACCCCTATACACTCCAATACACCCCTATACATCCCTATACACCCCTGTATCGCTCTGCATCCCTATACACCCCTATACATCCCTATGGAGCCCTATACATCCCTACACCCCTATACACCCCAATACACCCCAATACACCCCTATACACCCCTATAGACCCCTATAGACCCCTATAGACCCCTCTCCATCCCCATTTAGGCTTCGCCTTCCCGGACTGGGCGTACAAGGCGGAGTCGAGCCCCGGCTCCCGGCAGATCCAGCTGTGGCACTTCATCCTGGAGCTGCTCCGGCAGGAGCGGTACCGGGAGCTCATCGCCTGGCAGGGGGATTACGGGGAATTCGTCATCAAGGACCCCGATGAGGTGGCCCGGCTCTGGGGGGTGCGCAAGTGCAAGCCCCACATGAACTACGACAAGCTCAGCAGGGCGCTCAGGTCACCGGGAATGCCGGGATGAGGGCGGGATGAGGGGGGGATGAGGATGGGATGAGGGGGGGATGAGGGCGGGATGAGGGCGGGATGAGGGGGGGATGAGGGCGGGATGAGGATGGGATGAGGGGGGGATGCGGAGGACGGGGGTGGTACCCAGGGAGAGGAGAGCGGGGCCGAGCGCAGGCGGACGGACACGAAGTTGTCCGAGCGGGGCCGAACCCGTCCGAACCCATCCGAACCTATCAGAACCCGTCCGAACCCACCCGAACCCGTCCGAACCCACCCGAACCCACCCGAACCCGTCCGAACCCACCCGAACCCACCCGAACCGATCCGAACCCACCCGAAAACATCCGAACCCGTCCGAACCCATCCGAACCCGTCCGAACCCACCCGAACCCGTCCGAACCCAACCCGAACCCAACCCGAACCCATCCGAACCCACCCGAACCCGTCCGAACCCACCCGAACCCGTCCGAACCCGTCCGAGCCAACCCGAACCCGTCCGAACCCAACCCGAACCGACCCGAACCCATCCGAACCCACCCGAACCCACCCGAACCCGTCCGAGCCAACCCGAACCCGTCCGAACCCAACCCGAACCGACCCGAACCGACCCGAACCCATCCGAACCCACCCGAACCCACCCGAACCCACCCGAACCCGTCCGAATCCATCCGAACCCGTCCGAACCCAACCCGAACCCAACCCGAACCCATCCGAACCCATCCGAACCCATCCGAACCCACCCGAACCCACCCGAACCCGTCCGAACCCATCCGAACCCGTCCGAACCCAACCCGAACCCAACCCGAACCCATCCGAACCCACCCGAACCCGTCCGAACCCAACCCGAACCCGTCCGAACCCATCCGAACCCAACCCGAACCCGTCCGAACCCATCCGAACCCGTCCGAACCCAACCCGAACCCACCCGAACCCGTCCGAACCTATCAGAACCCACCCGAACCCATCCGAACCCACCCGAACCCACCCGAACCCATCCGAACCCGTCCGAACCCACCCGAACCGACCCGAACCCATCCGAACCCACCCGAACAGACCCACACACACCCCAATGTCCCAAACCGTGCCCAAGGGGAGCCCCACTGTGGGATACATGGGGGGCAATGGGGCACAATGGGGGCAATGCGGCACAATGGGGGCAATGGGGGCGCAATGGGGGCGCAGTGGGGGCAATGGGGGCACAATGGGGGTAATGGGGGGCAATGGGGGCAATGGGGGCACAATGGGGGTAATGGGGCTCAATGGGGCGCAAGGGGGGCAATGGGGGCGCAATGGGGCGCAATTGGGGGTAATGGGGCACAATGGGGCACAATGGGGGCAATGGGGGGCAATGGGGGGCAATGGGGGCACAATGGGGGGCAATGGGGGCTCAATGGGGCGCAATGGGGGCAATGGGGGCGCAATGGGGCGCAATGGGGGGCAATGGGGGGCAATGGGGGCGCAATGAGGGGCAATGGGGGCTCAATGGGGGGTAATGGGGCGCAATGGGGGTAATGGGGGCGCAATGGGGTGCAATGGGGGGCAATGGGGGGCAATGGGGGCGCAATGGGGGGGTCCCATCTCTTCCCCCCACCCCCATAGGTACTACTACAACAAGCGCATCCTGCACAAGACCAAGGGCAAACGCTTCACCTACAAGTTCAACTTCAGCAAAGTGGTGCTGGTCAATTACCCCCTATTGGAGCTGGGGGGGGGCCCCCCATTGCTGCTCAGCACCGCCCCTTTCACTGCGGGGGGGCCCGCAGCCGACTGCGCCCCATTGACTCCTGAGGTGATGGGGGTAAAGGGGGTGATGGGGACAATGGGGTAATGGGGGTAATGGGGGTAATGGGGTAATGGGGGTAATGGGGTAATGGGGGTAATGGGGGTGATGGGGGATAATGGGGACAATGGGGATGATAGGGGCAATGGGGGTAATGGGGGTATTGGGGGCAATGGGGGTAATGGGGGCAATGGGGGGTAATGGGGGTAATGGGGTGATGGGGGTAATGGGGGCAATGGGGACAATGGGGGCAATGAGGGTAAAGGGGGCAATGGCGGTTATGGGGGATAATGGGGACAATGGGGATGATGGGGCAATGGGGGTAATGGGGGGCAATGAGGGTAATGGGGGACAATGGGGGTAATGGGGGGTAATGGGGGCAATGGGGGTATGGGGGTAATGGGGGTAATGGGGGTATGGGGGTAATGGGGGGTAATGGGTGTAATGGGGGCAATGGGGGTAATGGGGGTAATGGGGACAATGGGGGGTAATGGGGCCAATGGGGACAATGGGGGGCAATGTGGGTCAATGGAACCAATGGTGACCCTCGCCCCCCCCCCATTGCCCCCCATTGCCCCCCCCCAAAGGCTCTGCAGTCCCTCCTGTGCAACCCCCGCCCTGCGGACCTCCCGCCCGCTGGGGGGCGCCCTCCCCTCTTCGAGCGGGACAAGCTGCGGCTGGAGGCGGCGCTGCCCGCGCTGGGACCCGGTGAGCGGAGGCAGCTTGGCGCCCCCTGGTGCCTTGGAGGAGCATTAGGATGGATGGGGGGAGTTCTGGGGGTGGTTTTGGGGGTGTTTTGAGGCTTTTTGGGGGGTTTGGGGGGTTTGGGGTGGTTTTGGGGGGTTCCGGGCTATTTCGGGGCTATTTTGGGGTATTTCTATCAATTTTTGCTGTTTCTGTCTATTTTGGGCTATTTCTGTCAATTTTGGGGTATTTCTGTCTATTTTGGGCTATTTCTGTCTATTTTGGGCTATTTCTGTCTATTTTGGGCTATTTCAGTCTATTTTGGGCTATTTCTGTCTATTTTGGGCTATTCCTGTCTATTTTTGGCTATTTCTGTCTATTTTTGGCTATTTCTGTCTATTTTCGGCTATTTCTGTCTATTTTCGTCTATTTCGGGACTATTTCTGTCTATTTGGGGCTATTTCTGTCTATTTTGGGCTATTTCAGTCTATTTTGGGCTATTTCGGGACTATTTCTGTCTATTTGGGGCTATTTCAGTCTATTTCTGTCCATTTCGGTCTGTTTTGGGCTATTTTGGGCTATTTTTGGCTATTTCAGTCTATTTTGGGTTATTTCGGGGCTATTTCTGTCTATCTGGGGCTATTTCAGTCTATTTCTGTCTATTTTGGGCTATTTCAGTATATTTTGGGCTATTTCTGTCTGTTTCCGTCTATTTCGGGCTATTTCTTTCTATTTCTGTCTATTTGGGGCTATTTCACTCTATTTCTGTCTATTTCGGTCTGTTTTGGGAGGTCTATTTTGGGCTATTTCAGGGCTATTTTGGGCTATTTTGGGGCTATTTCTGTCTGTTTCAGTCTATTTGGGCTATTTCTCTCTATTTCTGCCTATTTCGGGGCTATCTTCGTCTATTTTGGGCTATTTCGGGGCTATTTCTGTCTATCTCAGTCTATTTTGGGGCTATTTTGGAGGTCTTTGGGGCTATTTCAGTCTATTTTGGGCTATTTCGGGCTATTTCAATCTATTTCTGTCTATTTCGGGGTTATTTCTGTCTATTTCGTCTATTTTGGGCTATTTCGGGGCTATTTTGGGGTATTTCGGGGCTATTTCTGTCTCTATTTCAGTCTATTTTGGGCTATTTCGGGCTATTTCAATCTATTTCTGTCTATTTCGGGGTTATTTCTGTCTATTTCAGGCTATTTTGGGCTATTTCGGGGCTTTTGGGGGCTATTTCGGGGCTATTTCTGTCTCTTTCTGTCTATTTCGTCTATTTTGGGCTATTTCGGGTCTATTCCCGCCTATCTCAGTCTATTTTGGGGCTACTACGGGATATTTTAATCCATTTCGGGCTGCTTCGGGGCTATTTCGGGGCTATTTCGGGGCTATTTTGGGGCTATTTCTGTTTATTTCTGTCTCTTTCTGTCTGTCTATTTGGGGCTATTTTGGGCTATTTCAGTCTATTTTGGTCTATTTCGGGCTATTTCAGTCTATTTCAGTCTATGTCGGGGTTATTTCTGTCTATTTCAGGCTATTTTGGGCTATTTCGGGGCTATTTGGGGGTATTTCGGGGCTATTTCTGTCTCTTTCTGTCTATTTTGGGCTATTTCGGGTCTATTCCCCCCTATCTCAGTCTATTTTGGGGCTACTTCGGGGTATTTTAATCCATTCCGGGCTGCTTCGGGGCTATTTTGGGGCTATTTCGGGGCTATTTCTGTTTATTTCTGTCTCTTTCTGTCTATTTTGTCTATTTGGGGCTATTTTGGGCTATTTCAGTCTATTTGGGGCTATTTCAGTCTATTTCAGTCTATTTCGGGGTTATTTCTGTCTATTTCAGGCTATTTTGGGCTATTTCGGGGCTTTTTTGGGGTATTTCGGGGCTATTTCTGTCTCTTTCGTCTATTTCGGGCTATTTCGGGTCTATTCCCGCCTATCTCAGTCCATTTTGGGGCTACTTCGGGGTATTTTAACCCATTTCGGGCTGCTTCGGGGCTATTTTGGGCTATTTCGGGGCTATTTTGGGGCTATTTCGGGGCTATTTCTGTCTCTTTCTGTCTATTTCGTCTATTTTGGGCTATTTCAGTCTATTTGGGGCTATTTCAGTCTATTTCTGTCTATTCCAGGCTATTTCGGGCTATTTCGGGGCTATTTCGGGGCTATTTCTGTCTCTTTCGTCTATTTCGGGCTATTTCGGATCTATTCCCGCCTATCTAAGTCTATTTTGGGGCTATTTCGGGGTATTTTCATCCATTCCGGGCTCTTTGGATGCATTTCGGGTCCTTTCGGATCCCTTCGGCTCTTTCCGCCCCCCCCCCCTTCGGCTGTTCCATCAACCCCTCTCCCCCCCCCCCCCTTTCCAGGTCTTCCCAAGGCTCCGGCGCTGTTCGGGGGGGGGTTCCCCCGCCCCCCGCTGCCCGAGTACCCGTGGGGCTGGGCCGGACCATTCGTGCCGGGGGGGCTGGGGGTGCCCAAGCTCCCTCCCCCTCTCTACACCCCCCCCCCTCCTCCCCCTCCTCCTCCTCCCCCCCCTCCTCCCCCACACCCCCATTTTTACCCCACTTTGGTCCCTCCCGGCCCCCCCCCGCCCCCCCCGGATTCGGATCCGGATTCGGAGCTGGAGGTCACGGACGGAACCGGGACCCCCGGGGGGGGGGAGGAGGAGGAGGAGGAGGAGGAGGAGGAGGAGACGACGACGACGACGCCGCCACCCCCCCCCCCGCACCCTGACTTGGTGCGGTCCGATGGGGTTTGGCCCCCCCCCCCCCCCCCGGCGCGTACCACTCTATGGGGGGGGGGTGTTCACCCCATAACCCCCCCCTTAATCCTTAATCCCTCCCCCCCATTTTACCCCCCCCCCAAGTGCAATATGGTTGGTGCCACCCCCCCCCCCCCCGCTGGTGTGTTGGTGTGATCCTGCCCCTCCCCCACTGTAAATACCCCATCCCCCCCCTCCCCCACTTTGTGTGTGTCCCCCCCCTCCCCCCCCCAAATGCGCCGCCCCCCCCACCCCACCCCTCCCCCCCGGCGGCTGCTGAAGCAATAAAGTGACCTC